TGTGTGTGTGTGTGTGTGTGTGTGTGTGTGTGTGTGTGTGTGTGTGTATATGTGTGTGCGTGTGTGTCAGCAGAGATAAGGACCCCACGGTTCGTCACTCCTATAGTATTTAATGACTCCAAACCCTCTCTGCTGTGTGTGTGTGTCAGCAGAGATAAGGACCCCACGGTTCGTCACTCCCGTAGTATCTAATGACTCCAAACCCTCTCTGCTGTGTGTGTGTGTGTGTGTGTGTGTGTGTGCGTGCGCGCGCGCGGTTTAATAAAAATAAAAATAATGATTTTAATTGATACATATTTAAAATAACATTTCATTGTACTCCACATCACTCATTTTTTTCAACATTCAGATCCTGTTGTGATGGTCTCTCAGCAGCATCTAATATTTTATTTAATAATGTTGAAGAAGGGTAACGAACGTTGGGTTGGTGTCGCGCGTATCCTAAATACCATAACACGCTGGCTACGTGCGCACATGTACCCACAGTTTTTGCACCTGATTTACAGGTGCAGTAATAACCTAATATCACTTTCCTTTCATCATCTACGTCGTCTTCATCTCTCATATTGTAAAAGTGCGAGTGTTTTCACGGTTTCGTAATGCAACGAAACAGCAAATATTTATAGCTTACAATATGAGAGATGAAGACGACGTAGATGATAAGAGGGAAGTAATATTAGGTTATTACTGCACCTGTAAATCAGGTGCAAGAACTGTGGGTACATGTGCGCACGTAACCAGCGTGTTATGGTATTTAGAATACGCGCGACACCAACCCAACGTTCGTTACCCTTTTTCATCATTATTAAATAAAATATTAGATGCTGCTGAGAGACCACCACAACAGGATCTGAATGTTGAGAAAAATGAGTGATGTGGAGTACAATGAAATAAGTTATTTTAAATGTGTATCAATTAAAATCATTATTTTTATTTTTATTAAGCCGCGCACACACACACACACACACACACACACACACCAGAGAGGGTTTGGAGTCATTAAATACTACGGGAGTGACGAACCGTAAGGTCCTTATCTCTGCTGACACACACACACACACGCACACAAACACACACACACACACACACATGAGATCAGCCCCCTACCACGTCCATGTCGTTGGTCCTGGGTTATGCTAAGAGTAGGGATATAGTACTCGCGCAGACCATAATTTTTTATGTTTGACTGGCTGTAGCTCAAAAACTGTCCATTATTTAGCTTTGTGCCCATTACATTTTTTGTTCAGTAGGTTATAAGCCACAACATATTAAAAAATTACGCGATTTCACCGGAATCCAATTTCCTATATAATTAATGCGGGGTCCTTTCCAGATGTTCCAGTTCTCGAAATTTCTCGATTCCATGAAATTTCATGTTTGTGGATTTCCAGTAAACGCACCAGACAGACACGCCCTTTTACTGCACTTTTGTCAATGTTCACTGACGTACTCACTTTCACTTACGAGCAACCGAATTGTCAATGTTCACTGCAGTTTCCACTTAATCAATGTTCACTACAGTCTCCACTTACGAGGAACCACGCTCTGCTACCATGTTGATGTATCAATATCTTCTTATTGTGAAACATACACCGAGTAACGTTTTGTGTCGAGCATAGAGGCGCGAGTGGCGCGACTTAACCAAAGGTGAATATCGTGCTTAGTATAGCCAAAGAGAAACCTGAGAGCGGCCACCGGGATCATTCCATTCAAGCGGACGTATACTGACGCGCCGCCTGAGAAAGTGGACGTCAACTACGTCGTTACGCTCAGTAACGGTACACACATGGTTCGTGTCCGTGCTATGGTTCGTGTCCGAACTACTCAGATGGAGGGGATATGCTGGTCGCGCAAGCCCCTCTTCTGTCCGTGTACGCTCGGCACTCGGCAATCTTCGAGCGGAGAGAGAAGGACAGACATACGATCTGCTATCTCCTTCTCTCTTGAGCTGTGACGTTGCCGTTAGCACGCGCCGGCTGTACCACGATGCCACGCATTTCGGGTTTCGCGTCTCGTGTCTCGTGTCTCGCCGAGTGCCGAGTCTTGAGTTGGCAAATTGACGATTCGCTATACGTTACATTTGCGTTTATGTTTACAAATTTTAATTTTTATATTTATAAATAAATATATATATATATATGTATATATATTGGAAATTTACAAATATATAAAAATTGCAAATATAATTAATTAAATAAATATTTATAAACTTAAAAATTAAAATTCGCAAATGTAATGTATAAAAATTACATATGCTATACATATGCTTCTATCTATACATATGCTTTTCTATCTAAAAAAGTCTTACATTAAAAACCGTTATGTGGCGGTCAGCTGTCCGACACGTGCGCGCGACCGTACATACGCTACACGAATAGTATGACAGGAGGCGCGCGGCGCGCAGCACGGATAGTAGCGTAATATCGATCGGCGCGCGACATGAATATCGATCGGCCGGATAGTTCGGCGCGCACCGCTGCGCGGCGTATCTCTCTCGTAAGTAAGGTTCGACATCGATCCTTATATAAAGGGCAGCTCAGCGGGACCTCTCCAGCGATCTTCGAGAACGCCAGTCAGGGCGTGCTACCTATCGGGGCCCCTGACATAAGTCTCTTTTGATACGAAGTGTTGCTCTACTGTGGGCCTTCGTAAAACACCTGCTTGGCAGGGCGTTAACTACAGTTAAGAGACAACCAGCATCCTGCCGCGGAAAGGTTTCCGGGGTCATTGCAACCCAGCCCATCGGGCGACTCCTTATCCGGCTCCTGAGACCAAGGCGTTGCCTCCTGTGAACCTGACTCCGGCTCCTGAGACCAAGGCGCTGCCTCCTACTACGGCCTCGGCTCCGAGTACTCCGGCTCTTGTGACTCTGACTCCTGCTCTCGTGACTCCGACTCCTGCTCTTGTGAACCCGACTCCTGTTCCTGTATCCAAGACGAAGGATCGCATCGTGATCACAAAGGTAGAAACTCTACCGCCTGGGAAACGTCTCCTACAGAACAAATCCAAGACTAAGTGGAGATTTACCCCGATTGCCAAGTGGGGTCATACTAACCCAGCAACACTACAATCGGTGGAAATAAGATCGTCAACTATACCGAGACCGACTCCAGTCCTACCGAGCCCTACACCAGCTCCTGTTCCTGAGGCTACATCACGAGATCCGAACTTGTCTTCCAAGGTAGAAACCTTTCTACCTTGGAAGCTAATACCCATCACCGGCTCCCGAAGACGTATCAGCTCCTGAGATCCAGGCGAAGGACGCTATCCCGATCTCCAGGATAGAAACCTTTTTACCGTGGAAGCTCTATCCAATCGATTTTCCACCAAGAGCTCCACGTGTCCGACGCCCTCTTCATCCCATTGATCCAGAGAACTTTGTGGCGACGCAGACCGACCACATCTTCAAAACGCCTACACGACCACGATTCCTGCAGACCCGACTGAGTCCTATTCCGTCCACTCCAATAGGCAAGCCTAGGACTCCCGGACGGAACCTGGTGGTCCTACTAGAGAATATCTTCGAGAAGAAGAAGTCAATTATAAAACAACTATTCAAAGAACCGTAATGCGTATATTACACTACACAAAGATAACCTACACCAACACACACGACCATCTACACATTCATATAGAGGATATAATTATTTTGTACATAGAGCATGAATAAACATAGCGAGATTTTACCCAATTGAACATTTCGTTATTTGTGGGAACGACGCACCTTAACCTAATCCTAACCTACCCCCCCCCCCACACGTTACTTTAGCAGAATAATATTTACATGTAATATTTAAATGCATACCAATAATTATATTATTGACTATGAGAAATAACTGTAGTTTATAATATTCTTTTACTCTTATTAAATTTATTTTACCTATGCATGTTTAATTGGCCAAATTACGGCTAAATTACAAGCAACAACAAAAGGATATTGGATAAAAATAAAAACATTTTATTAAATAAACAATACTCATGGGTAACATTTCGACTGTACTTATTATAATTAGTCTTCTTCGGAACGGATTACTATGAATATAAAAAAAGAAGATAAATATTAAAACATGATAATGTTTAAGTTAACATACTAAAACATTAAACATTAGTCTACTAGACTAAAACATTAAACAATTTCCTAATAATATAAACAAAATAAACAATAATCTAATTGAATCACAAATATAAAAACGCCGGAGTAATCAAATAAAACCATGACAAGATAAATTTTATATTTATATTGAGAGGTGATAAAATCTCTTCCGTCAGGAAGAGAATGTAAACAATTATTAACGGGGTATTCTGATTTAAAATATCTTTAAAATAGATATTTTTTAGGAATTTTTTGTAGGGAAACAAAGAAAGTGAATAACATTAAACTTTGCATGTTCTCTTCACCTCATTTTAAAATTTTATTTTTATTTAAGTAACAAAAATGCTCTTCTTTTCTGTTATATCCTGGTCACTATAAATGACAGGCGGTGTAAATAATTCTAGCTGTTTTAGGTATCTGAAACACAAAAAGCTAAAATTTTCTTATTTTGCAGAAGTGTGGTTACTGTCTGAACTATAATTAAATCAATATTTCTATTCTGTGTGTGTAAAAGCGGCTTTTTTATTAAAAATATTATAACTTTTTTCAAAATTTTATTAGTATTTTATTTAAAAAAAAAAACTAATAAACAATGTTTATTCTAGTTCAGACGATAGCCATCACTTATTTTGAATAAGAAAATTTTTGGTTTTGTTGCGGCCCCAATTAATATAACCATAAATAGTATTAAGAATAAAGACCGCGAAGAACAATAGGGAACGCGACCGCGAAAGCCCAAAAGAATTACGCAACGCCAAATCAGCAAGAGAGTTGCGCGATCGGCCCACATACGATCGAGCAACTCAGCGATATTGAAGGACAGGACGAGGATTCAAAAGGAAGCGACAACAGGAGATGAGAGGGCAATCGGAGTCAGGGAGCAGATCAGTAACGCGCATCTCTTGTACGGAAATAACTGTAAAGCAAATTCAATTAAAGTATTCTTTATTCGAAGTGCCGTTTATCAAAGAGTGTTCTATCAGTCACCCATCCCGCCTCCTCCTTGGAACGATCGAATCCTAGTGTACCCAAAAAGAGGCACAACAAAATGGTGGCAGCGTGAGGGATCCAGTGGCAGGAAGACGGCAGCTGAAACAGAAAATAAGTGAATCAATGAGGCAGTGCAACATCCTCAACGGAGACACGGCAGTCAGATTCAAAAGCAGCGGACAACACGGTAGCGGCCGACGAGAAGCAAGCGAGCAGCGTAACCCGAGAAGGCACCGACTTATCTCAACGGAGGCTCACCGACAGATAAGGCGGCACAAGCACCGACCAGCAACATGCGACTAGCGACCGTAATGTAAGTCGATTAAGCAAATTATGTAAAGCGCAATCACCGTAGATGTCGGAAAACAAAAATCCATCTGAACTAAACCGGAACTAAACCAATCGTGGCTCCATAGCGAGACGTCACGACGAGCGCGTAGAAATAGACCGTTAAGCCCCGTGCAAACGACCGAAGAAGTCGTAAGCAATAATCGCGAAACCGTGCGTAGAAATTTAGACGCGTACTACTCAAGCGAAAGCGAATCAGAACCGGAATTACACCCGGACAGCGTAATTGAACGCGAATCCCAATTCGACGATTCCATTATAATTTTAGACGCGAGAGTAATAAGACAAAATAACTGCCCCGACGAAAATAGACTCCACCTCTCACACGCGCACGCACAATCCGAAGACGCGGACAGTACGACCAGTAGGCGAACACACAGACGAGAGTTCTCATTGACCTCGTATGATAGCAGCGTATTTGACCCGCAAGAGTATTATTCTGCCCCGAGACACGTGAACGTAATCGAGATGGCGGAAGCAACAAATAGCAACCACGACGCGAATAACGTAAATGACAACGCGCCGATAACCCCAGAGGAAATAGACGAAGAAATAAACCGTCTTAATCGAGTGCTATCACAAAGAGGCACCCCGGCGAATCACCGTAACCGGATACCCGCACGGGCCGGACCGCCGCGGGACGATAGAGATTCCATTTTCGACGAGATATTAAACGGAATCCGCAACTTACAAGATCGCGTAAATCAACTAGAAACGGCGAATCTTGAACGCCGCAAATTTCACGCGAGACGCGAGCCAAGTAACCTCCCGTTCGAAGTAACGTACGGAAGAACGTCATACGATATTCGGAACCAAGCGGAGCGCGCAATTGGATATCTACGTTTAAAAGAGGCACGAGACATGATACCCGAGTTCGACGGAGCCTCGAGTAAATTACAAGAATTCTTAAGCGCCGCGTCATATGCAATAAAAAACATAAATCCTATGGAAGAAGGAACGCTATTAGAAGCAGTGCTATGGACAAAGCTAAAAGGAAGAGCGATGATAGACTTTCAAACGCGAGAGATAAGAGATTTCGCACAACTAAAGAAGGAATTAGAAGTTTGCTATTTGAGCCGCAAAAGCACAACACACTTACAACTAGAGTTTAATACACTCAAGCAAAAACCCGGAGAAAATGCAAGAGCATTCAGATTAAGAGCCGATAAGCTAGCGATGGAGCTATACGACTCCATGATAGAGGGAAGAAATCACACCATAGAAAGCAAGCGAACTATATTAGAAACGATTCAACAACAGGCATTACAGAATTTTCAATTAGGATTGAGAGACGAGATCAAGTTACTTGTCCGAGCTCAGCATTTCACAACATTGCAAGAAGCGATTGCCGGAGCGAGCGCCGAGGAAAAAGTAAACGGGCCGAGTGGAATTCCGCCGCGTCCCAAAAATAATTATGCGTACTCGCCGCAACCGCGCGATAACCGATCGATATTACAATGCCAAAAATGCGGAAAATACGGGCACCTCGGAAGGGAATGTCGTACCAATAGATATGCGAACCGTTTCTCCTTACCAAAACCCGATAGAACACCCCGCGTAAACGCGATAGATAAAGTCTGCAATTATTGCCAGAAGGCAGGACACATGCGCGAAGAATGTTGGCTGTTAAATGGTCGACCAAATAAAGAAATGACGAATCACAACAAACCGAATAATCCGCGAGGACAAAATAAAAATTTTCACCCGAAAACGAATGGCCCGAGAAAAAAAGACAGTAATTCAGCCGCGAATAGCGATGAGGAAGACAAAGAGGACACAAAGCAGCGCCGACCGGCGTTAGAGTATCAGGTGTCACACCTGACAAACAAGCCGCGAAAGCATGCAGGGCTGGACTTAATCACTCTGCCCATGCGAGAAGCGAAGCGCAAAAAAATAAAGGACCCCGGGCCCAGCCATAGGGAAAATGGATCCCGGTCAAATTGGTTCAAACTGCAGTATGTTGTACTTTATAATCTCCTGATTCAAAAGTGTTAATGGGCACGAAGTCCGGAACCATCTACTTTTCGAGTTATCAGACGTTGTACATGGTAAAAATGAGGATATTGGGGATATTCTATTTTAGAGTATCCACGGCAATAATTCTTTAGGGTCGCATTTTTGTGTGTGCGTGCGTGCGTGTGTGCGTGTGTGTGTGTGTGTGTGTGTGTGTGTGTGTGTGTGTGGAAGTATGTCCGTATGAGCGTGTGCGTGTGTGTGTGTGTGTGTGTGTGTGTGTGTGTGTGTGTGTGTGTGTGTGTGTGTGTGTGTGTGTGTGTGTGTGGGTGTGTGTGTGTGTGTGTGTGTGTGTGTGTGTGTGTGTGTGTGTGTGTGTGTGTGTGTGTGTGTGTGTGTGTGTGTGTGTGTGTGTGTGTGTGTGTGTGTGCGTGTGTGTGTGTGTGTGTGTGTGTGTGTGTGTGTGTGTGTGTGTGTGTGCGCGTGGGTATGTGTGTGTGGGTATATCTGTATGAGCGTGTGCGTGTGCGTGCGAGTGCGTGCGTGCGTGTGTGTGCGCGCGCGCGTGGGTATGTG